GGGGGGGGGGGGGTGTCGGTGGTTCCGGGGAAATAGCTAGAGGAGTGTGTAAGAGTTGAAAATGGTATATTTCATTTATTCTTTTGGTTGGTAAAAAAAATAATTTTCGAGTTTAATGAGATAAAAGTTTCAATAAAAATCCAATCCCGCGGATCTTGACGACAAACAGGCAGACAAACTTTGAGCAACGAATCAACAATGGCGAAGAGGTGAAAATTCATAATCTTTTATAATTTTTGTATGCTGTAATATTGTATTATTATCTCATTTGGCTGGCCAAAAGGAATGAATTTAAAAGATATTGTTTGCCTTTATTTTATGATATCTCAAGTTTGCATTGATAATTATGGCCAACTACCAACTTTGAAGAGAGAAGAGTTGAAATGAATTTGTTAATCTCTTATAATATTTCCATCGACCCCAATACAAGTGGGAATATGAATATAATGCAATTCAGCTTGAGCTACAATGGAGTGGGGCTTCCATGATTGTCACATCATGAAATTATTTAGGTTGGTTCAATCTAAATTTTTTCATTACCAAATTGAAATTTCACAAGGATAGAAACTTATCTCACCGGTGATTTATTTTTGAGTTTGAATATTGATAATTTTTTGAGGTCAGGTCATTTTTTATGAATATTCTTGTTTTTATGAAAATGACTTATTTTTAATCGGATCAAAAAAAAAAATAATCTAAATAAATATAAACTGATTCAAACAACTATGATAATTAACAAAAAAAAAAAAAAATGCCTAATGATTTCACTTTTTACCTGAACCATTGCGCTGAAAAAAAAGTAAGTTTGTTTACTTTAATTCTAGAAAGGTGGTGAAGATGCTGTCTTTCAGCGGTAGAGTCAAAAAATTTGGCACATTTTGTTAAAAGTAATTGCCATGTAGCCGGCTGCAAATGGATTGGGTTGGGCTTGAAATTCCAATCCAGTCCAATCCGGCTGAGCTAGTCAAACATGTCCTTAGAGTTTTGGACCGAAAGGGAACCGTTAAAATTTTCATCCAACTTAACGGAACATGTAAAAATGACTCATTTATCCTTCACCCAAACACTCCCATTAGGGAAAAAAAAATTGGGTGTAAGCAGCCGATGATGTCAGTATTGTTATGTGGTGTAACGATTCATTAATAGGTAAATAAATTAACAAATAAGTTTTTTNCTAATTGGATCAGACCTAATAAATCAAGTAAGCCCAAATCAGCTAAATAACAGGTCAAGCTCAGTTCAAGAATTCGACTCAGTCCAAGTGAGAAGGAGTCAAAAAAGAATTAAAATATGTGGGAAGCAATTATCGGGATATTCACTCTCGAACATCAAGACAATCTTTAATTGTACTTATCTTTTATAGACACCGGAGAATTAGTACCTTCTTCCTCAAGTCACCATCTTAACCAAGGCCTTGTACCTATAAATTGTAAGTCATCTCTAAATGAGAGGACTTATTGAACTCTACCTCTACACCCCTCTACACACACATAACTTTTCTCTCTCCTCTCNATTTTTTAAATTCATTTAAAAAAATTAAATTTAACAAACTTAACTTAAACTCATAAAACTTGATTCAATTATTCGTAGGATCTAACAAAGCCTACTTGATGCAGGCCGAAGAAAAAGGTCCAGACATGGAAGCTGTTAATATTTTTATAAGTAATACTACACATGCTTAAAAAATTAATATTTAAAAACTTGATTTGATAATATATTGTTGTATTTATCATTGATTTAATTGTGAATTTTAGTATTTTTTGAGACCCATTATCTATTCATTGATAATGATTTATTAAGTTAAGATTTTAAGTCAGTTTTTTAAATCTATTTAGTATTTTTTTAATTTTTATTACTAAATGTATCATATTCCCATTTTTCAAAATTTTAATTTTTTTATTGTAAGACATATTTCACCCAATTAAATTACTAATATATATTAATTATTGCCAACGAAACGGATAATTTAATTATTATTTTTTAAATCTTTCATTTTATTGTTGAGTAATTTTCTAAAATGGGTAGTTTTCGGAAATAAAATAATATTATTTTTGAGAGTGAATCTTAGACGGGCTCAGAGCTTTGCTACCCATCTCAAATTATTTATACCAAACTGTTTCCATAGTGAGACCCAATAATATTTAATAATTGTAGATTAGCCACATTACTTTGGGGAGAAAGTTAAGATAAAAGTTTGACATGCATAAGAATATCTCCTGATGAGCCCAAATCTAATTGGATCAGACCTAATAAATCAAGTAAGCCCAAATCAGCTAAATAACAGGTCAAGCTCAGTTCAAGAATTCGACTCAGTCCAAGTGAGAAGGAGTCAAAAAAGAATTAAAATATGTGGGAAGCAATTATCGGGATATTCACTCTCGAACATCAAGACAATCTTTAATTGTACTTATCTTTTATAGACACCGGAGAATTAGTACCTTCTTCCTCAAGTCACCATCTTAACCAAGGTCTTGTACCTATAAATTGTAAGTCATCTCTAAATGAGAGGACTTATTGAACTCTACCTCTACACCCCTCTACACACACATAACTTTTCTCTCTCCTCTCTACTGTACATCTCTCAAAGCTAGCCATTGCTTTCTCTTCTGTTTACCTTACTTTATCAATAAAGACCCCCCGTCACCATTGCCGTTTTTCAGAGTGGAGTAAGTCACGCGGAACGAACTATTATATATCTGTGTATTGACTCAATATTTACATTACTGTCATTGATTATTTTATTTATTTTTCATTAATTATACCTTATCACACACTCGACTGTTGATCTTGTACGAGATTATTTTGTGCATCATCATCTCCAACAATAAAAGTTAGTTTAGTTACTAAAAAAAGTAATACTTTCTATTTTAGCTATTCAATTTTTTAATAAATATTCTAACAAATTTTTTATATTTTTAACTATTTTTTTATTTTTTTGTATTATATTTTTTTAGGAATAGTGAGAGATAGAGAGAATGGAGAAAAGAAAAAAAGAAAAGAAAAAATATTATAAAATACTTGTACATGTTACGACAATGTCATAATAGCTGATAATGATATATTTAAGCTTGAGTCGTCCATTCAGAGCCCAAAACATCCGGTGGGCCCCTTTTTAAATGACAACTTAAACGGCTCATCTGCAACGTACCCGTTTCATAATGAAAAGGGTCACAATCCAGGGCATGAAGTCCAAGGCCATCCATCTCGGTATATGTTTGCTCGATTGTCTTAAGCACGACGAAATGGACCAACTTGAGAATTAGAAGCTCGGTACAAGATATATTCCAAGCAGCTCCAGTCGCGCACCCTATCCAGGGGGCAGGGGGACAACCTCTGATGACNCCAATTGGATCAGACCTAATAAATCAAGTAAGCCCAAATCAGCTAAATAACAGGTCAAGTTCAGTTCAAGAATTCGACTCAGTCCAAGTGAGAAGGAGTCAAAGAAGAATTAAAATATGTGGGAAGCAATTATCGGGATATTCACTCTCGAACATCAAGACAATCTTTAATTGTACTTATCTTTTATAGACACCGGAGAATTAGTACCTTCTTCCTCAAGTCACCATCTTAACCAAGGCCTTGTACCTATAAATTGTAAGTCATCTTTAAATGAGAGGACATATTGAACTCTACCTCTACACCCCTCTACACACACATAACTTTTCTCTCTCCTCTCTACTGTACATCTCTCAAAGCTAGCCATTGCTTTCTCTTCTGTTTACCTTACTTTATCAATAAAGACCCCCCGTCACCGTTGCCGTTTTTCAGAGTAGAGTAAGTCACGCGGAACGAACTATTATATATCTGTGTATTGACTCAATATTTACATTACTGTCATTGATTATTTTATTTATTGTTCATTAATTATACCTTATCACACACTCGACTGTTGATCTTGTACGAGATTATTTTGTGCATCATCATCTCCAACAATAAAAGTTAGTTTAGTTACTAAAAAAAGTAATACTTTCTATTTTAGCTATTCAATTTTTTAATAAATATTCTAACAAATTTTTTATATTTTTAACTATTTTTTTTAAATATTATTTTTTTATTTTTTTGTATTATATTTTTTAGGAATAGTGAGAGATAGAGAGAATGGAGAAAAGAAAAAAAGAAAAGAAAAAATATTATAAAATACTTGTACATGTTACGACAATGTCATAATAGCTGATAATGATATATTTAAGCTTGAGTCGTCCATTCAGAGCCCAAAACATCCGGTGGGCCCCTTTTTAAATGACAACTTAAACGGCTCATCTGCAACGTACCCGTTTCATAATGAAAAGGGTCACAATCCAGGGCATGAAGTCCAAGGCCATCCNTCAGTCATCCATTCAGAGCCCAAAACATCCGGTGGGCCCCTTTTTAAATGACAACTTAAACGGCTCATCTGCAACGTACCCATTTCATAATGAAAAGGGTCACAATCCAGGGCATGAAGTCCAAGGCCATCCATCTCAGTATATGTTTGCTCGATTGTCTTAAGCACGACGAAATGGACCAACTTGAGAATTAGAAGCTCGGTACAAGATATATTCCAAGCAGCTCCAGTCGCGCACCCTATCCAGGGGGCAGGGGGACAACCTCTGATGACCCTCACGAATAAATATTCTATGGCAAAAGGGAATATTTGGATACGCTCCATTTTGGGAATCGTGGGCACAAAATGTGTTAGAATGGCAGACCTCACTACAGGACAAATGAAGAAGGGATCACAGAATCAATCAAGAAAATGAAGAATTGAAGAAATCCTAGATGGCCACATGTATAAATAGAAGACAAAAACACAGTCAAAGAGAGTT